TATGAAGGATGAGGTGACTCATAGAAATGATGAGAGGAAAAAGGTGAGTGGTGCACTTAGGAGTGTGGAGACAAAGAACTTTGTCCATGAAAGCAAAGAGAGGAATGTATGAAAGTATAGTTGTACCAACACTCTTATATGGGTGTGAAGCATGGGTGATGAATGTTGCAACGAGGAGAAGGCTGGAGGCAGTGGAGATGTCATGTCTGAGGGCAATGTGTGGTGTGAATATAATGCAGAGAATTCGTAGTTTTGAAATTAGGTGAAGGTGTGGGATTACCAAAACTATTATCCAGTGGGCTGAGAGGGGTTGTTGAGGTGGTTCAGACATGTAGAGAGAATGGAACAAAACAGAATGGCTTTGAGAGTGTATAAATCTATAGTGGAGGAAAGGCGGGGTAGGGGTCGGCCTAGGAAGGGTTGGAGGGAGGGGGTAAAGGAGGTTTTGTGTGCGAGGGGCTTGGACTTCCAGCAGGCATGCGTGAGCGTGTTTGATAGGAGTGAATGGAGACAAATGGTTTTTAATATTTGACGTGCTGTTGGAGTGTGAGCAAAGTAACATTTATGAAGAGGTTCAGGGAAACCGGCAGGCCGGACTTGAGTCCTGGAGATGGGAAGTACAGTGCCTGCACTCTGAAGGAGGGGTGTTAATGTTGCAGTTTAAAAACTGTAGTGTAAAGCACCCTTCTGGCAAGACAGTGATGGAGTGAATGATGATGAAGGTTTTTCTTTTTCCGGTCACCCTGCCTTGGTGGGAATCGGCCGATGTGTTTATATATATAACACACACACACACACACACACACACAATATATATATATATATATATATATATATATATATATATATATATATATATATATATATATATATATTATATATATATGCAATAAGATCACAGTAAACAGGTGATTTCAGAATATGCAAAACAACCACTCTGAAAGAATAGAGAAATTCCAAGCGCTTTCGTGACTACTCACATTATCAAGGAACTATGAAAGTAAAGCATCCAAGGAAGCTATATAAGGGGTCTGGCCGGCACCTCACTATCAGATCCCACAACGGTTTAAACACCTGACGCGCGCCGACCCAACTTGGACAGGTCCTTGGCACAACCCACCCCACAAACCACTCTACCCAAGAAATAAGAAATTTTAAAGATTATTTGTCCAATGTATTATTAAATTCTTCCCAAATTCTATTAATTATAAATGGATCTAATTTATATAAACCATAGGAAATATTCATATTATTGTCAAAACTGCTTTTTATGAAACAAGATTCAATTATATTCCTGTCGACCAGGAAAAAATGAATAATCTCTTAGATGATACTGAAACCTATTCTAAACTTAGGAAAAATCCCCTAGAAACCGTTAACAGCAATTTCAATAAAACAATAAAACTTCTACTGAAAGGCAAAGATGAATTAGTCAAACAATTTACTTCCACTAATCCATCTTTGCCTTACATGTATGGACTAATAAAAACACACAAACCAGGGAATCCAGTCAGACCAATTATTAGCTCCATAGGGTCAGTTTCATATAAATTATCCAAATGGCTTGTTGATATTTTGAGCCCTATTGTTGGCAAAATTTCTAACTTTAATGTTAAAAACAACATAGACTTGGTTGATAAATTAAGCTCCTTGACTGACTTAAATGATTTTAACATGGTTAGTTTTGATGTTACTTCCTTGTTTACGAAAGTTCCTGTTGATGATTTATTAAGTTTCTTATCTGAAAAACTCGTTAACTATGATTTACCATTGCCAGTTCCTACTATCATTAAACTTATTAAACTTTGCATTGTTGATGCAAAATTTGTATTTAATGATAAATTTTACACTCAGAAGTTTGGTATGGCAATGGGAAATCCTCTTTCACCTGTTCTTAGTAACCTATACATGGAATTTTTTGAAACAAGGTTACTTAACACAATCCTCCCTAATAGAGCTAAATGGTTCAGATATGTTGATGATATTTTGTGTCTTATGCCCAAAAATGTAGATATACACCATTTCCTTGGAAAATTAAATAGCTTAGCCCATTCAATAAACTTTACTGTTGAGTTTGAAGAAAATAACTCATTGCCTTTTCTAGATGTTTTAATTATTAAGGGTAATAATGAATTCAAATTTAAAATTTACAGAAAACCTACTAATAACTGTTCCTATGTCCACTATTATTCCTCGCATCAAGATAGAGTCAAACTGTCTGTTTTCTCATCAATGTTTCTGAGAGCTTTACGAATTTGTAGTCCTGAGTTCATAGATGAGGAAATATCCAAAATTTATGAAATAGGTAATGATTTAAAATACCCAAGAAATGTAATTGATAAATCTTTTAAAGTTGCTAGAAATACTTTTTACAATCCAAAAAGGGACAACCAGCCTTATACAACTAAAAATATGTTGGTTCTCCCTTACCATGAAAACTTGGTTGATATGCCTTCTCTTCTTAAGACTTTTAATATTAAAGTTGTATTCAAAAATCTTGATACAGTAAAAAAACTTTTGATAAAGAATTCCCCCCAAAATGCTGATGGATGTGTCTATAAGATTCCTTGTAAAATTTGCGATAAAGTTTATTACGGTCAAACTGGTAAAAATCTCGAACTAAGATTAAAACAACATAAATATAGCATTAGAACTGGACAAGATTCCAATGCTCTATTTATTCATGTAAGAGATTTTAATCATCCAATTGATTTTCAAAAAGTTGAGAAAGTAGTATCAAGCAAGTCCATGGTCGACAGGAATATAATTGAATCTTGTTTCATAAAAAGCAGTTTTGACAATAATATGAATATTTCCTTTGGTTTATATAAATTAGATCCATTTATAATTAATAGAATTTGGGAAGAATTTAATAATACACTGGACAAATAATCTTTAAAATTCCTTATTTCTTGGGTAGAGTGGTTTGTGGGGTGGGTTGTGCCAAGGACCTGTCCAAGTTGGGTCGGCGCGCGTCAGGTGTTTAAACCGTTGTGGGATCTGATAGTGAGGTGCCGGCCAGACCCCTTATATAGCTTCCTTGGATGCTTTACTTTCATAGTTCCTTGATAATGTGAGTAGTCACGAAAGCGCTTGGAATTTCTCTATTCTTTCAGAGTGGTTGTTTTGCATATATATATATATATATATATATATATATATATATATATATATATATATATATATATATATATATATATATATATATATATATATATATATATATATATATATATATATAATATATATATATATATATATATATATAATATATATATATATATATATATATACATTATATATATACATATATATATATATATATATATATATATATATATATATATATATATATATATATATATATATATATATATATATATATATAATATATATATATATATATATATATTATATATATATATATATATATATATATAATATATATATATTTATTATTATATATATATATATTATATAGATGCAAAACAACACTGTGAAAATCAGTGAAATTCCAAAGGGCTTGTGACACTACATTGTCAAATGAACTTAACATTCCTTGCAGTGAGTGCAGGCAACGTGGAACTTTCACTACTCATGATCACAGTCGGTGCTTTGCCCTATCTTTAAATCACGTTACTGTGACATCCAACACAGTAATATAATAAACATTTTATCATATATATATATATATATATATATATATATATATATATATATATATATATATATATATATATATATATATATATATATATATATATATATATAAAACGCCAGTACACTGTGGAAAACACTCACTGTGAGAAACACACTGTGGGAAGCACACGCTGTGGGAGACACACACTATGGGAAACACACACTGTGGGAGATACACACTGTGGGAGATGCACACTGTGTGAGACATACACTGTGGAAGCTGTGGGAGACGCATTGTGGAAGACATACACTGTGGGAGACACTGTGGGAGACACTGTGGGAGACACACTGTGGGAGACACACTGTGGGAGACACACTGTTGGAGACACATACTGTGGGAGACACACACACTGTGGGAAACACACACTGTGGGAGACATACACTGTGGGAGACACACACTGTGGGAGACACACTGTGGGAGACACACTGTGGAAGACACACTGTGGAAGACATACACTGTGGGAGACACACTGTGGGAGACACACTGTGGGAAGCCCACACTGTGGGAGACACACATTGTGGGAGACACAAACTGTGGGAGACATACACTGTGGGAGACACGCTGTGGGAGACACACACTGTAGGAGACACGCTGTGGGAGACACACTGTGGGAGACACACACACACTGTGGGAGACACACACTGTAGGAGACATACACTGTGGGAGACACGCTGTGGGAGACACACACTGTGGGCGACACACACTGGAGGAGACATACACTGTGGAAGACACACTGTGGGAGACACACAATGTGGGAGACATTGTGGGAGACACACTGTTGGAGACACACTGTAGGAGACACACACTGTGGGAGACACACACTGTGGGAGACACGCTGTGGGAGACACACTATGGGAGACACACTGTGGGAGACACACTGTGGGAGACACACTATGGGAGACACACACTGTGGAAGACACACTGTGGGAGACACACTGTGGGAGACACACACTGTAGGAGACACACACTGTGGAAGACACACTGTGGGAGACATACACTGTGGGAGACACACTGTGGGAGACACACTATGGGAGACACACACTGTGGGAGACACACACTGTGTGAGACACACACTGTGGGAGACACACACTGTGGGAGACACACAATGTGGGAGACACACTGTGTGAGACACACTGTGGGAGACACACACTGTGGGAGACACACACTGTAGGAGACATACACTGTGGGAGAGACACACTATGGGAGACACACTGTGGGAGACACACTATGAGAGATTAATAATTAACTTTGCTCAGTTTGAGGTACAGGTACGCGAGGTGAGTCAGACTGCACACTGTACCTCAGAGGTGAGAGTGGTGCTGAAGACAGAGGTGTCAAAGTCCCACTCAGTACAAGGCTCCTCCTCCTCCACACCCACCAAAGACGACTTGTTGATTGAGTAGTAGCATGAGTCTCTGTAGATGAGTACAAGTGGGTGAGTACAAGTAATAAGTACAACTGAGTACTGACACTATGCTTTACGAATTATAATAAGAAATAACACGGGTTCGATCCCAGGCTAGCCACGGTTTGTTATTGCTTAAAAACCACTTCTTCGTCGTTGCATATATATATATATATATATATATATATATTATATATATATATATATATATATATATATATATAATATATATATATATATATATATTATATATATATATATATTTATATATATATATATATATATATATTATATATATATTTATTCATGGAACAGTTCCTTGATAATGTGAGAAATCACGAAAGCTCTTGGAAGTTCACTATTTTATCACAGTGGTTGTTGTGTATATATATATGCATACATACATATATGTACTGTATATGAATGCACAAAAAGAGGAAGAAAAAAAAAACGTACTCAGAAACATGTACTGTGTGGTTTCCTTCTGGTGGACGACATGTGTAGTTGAGTGCTGGCGCCATAAAGATAACACTGAAGGTCTGGCCTGGCAGCAACAGGTACCCTGTACGGTGTAAGAAACATGTAGAAGGTAGAGGGTCATAGCACGACGCAGGTACCCTGGTGGTGGTGAACTAGTGCAGGATAATTAGTTTGTCTATGGTAATTAGGAAGATACTATTATTATTTCTACTACAACTATTCGGGTTTAGTGTTTCCCCCTTGATTATAATAATAATAATAATATACAACTATTGTTATCACCACTGCTACTACTAATACTACCACCACAACTACTATTACTAATACTATTACTACTACTACTACTACAATTACTACTACTAATAAGAATAATAATAATAATCGTGATGATAATAATCATAATAATAACTATTATGGTAATAATATGATTAATATCTCTATTTCAAAGATGTCGTGAATATATCAGCAAATCTGAAATTGATCCATATTAATGTTGGCTGCTTGATAATGCGAAGTACAAGAGAATGAAGAATGAGAAGGTACAGAACGTACAATAACCTACGTACACACACGCACACACACACACACACACACACACACACTCACACACACACACACACAACACACACACACACACACACACACCCTGCCAAATGCAAAATCATGAAGATTGGGGAAGGGCAAAGAAGACCGCAGACACAATATAGTTTAGACGGCCAAAGTCTGCAAACCTCACTCAAGGAAAAAGATCTGGGGGTGAGTATAACACCGAGCATATCTCCCGAGGCGCACATCAATCAGATAACTGCTGCAGCATACGGGCGCCTGGCAAACCTACGGATAGCGTTCCGATACCTCAGTAAGGATTCGTTCAAGACTCTGTATACCATTTACGTCAGGCCCATACTGGAGTATGCAGCACCAGTTTGGAATCCACACCTGGTCAAGCACGTCAAGAAATTAGAGAAAGTGCAAAGGTTTGCAACAAGACTAGTCCCAGAGCTACAGGGATTGTCCTACGAAGAAAGGTTGAGGGAAATCGGCCTGACGACACTGGAGGACAGGAGGGTCAGGGGAGACATGATAACGACATAAAATACTGCGCGGAATAGACGAGGTGGACAAAGACGGGATGTTCCAGAGATGGGACACAGACACAAGAGGTCACAATTGGAAGTTGAAGACTCAGATGAATCAAAGGGATGTTAGGAAGTATTTCTTCATTCATAGAGTAGTCAAGCCGTGGAATAGCCTAGAAAGTGAAGTAGTGGAGGCGGGAACCATACATAGTTTTAAGGCGAGGTATGATAAAGCTGGAAATATAAACACAAATGCAGTATAATGTGATCCTTTATTGACTACGTTTCGCCCACACAGTGGGCTTTTTCAAGTCACAAACAGAAAAAGCCCACTGTGTGGGCGAAACGTAGTCAATAAAGGATCACATTATACTGCATTTGTGTTTATATTTCCATTGTGTCGGTATTTTATAACATTTATTTCCATCTATGATAAAGCTCATGGAGCAGGGAGAGAGAGGACCTAGTAGCGATCAGTGAAGAGGCGGGGCCAGGAGCTGTAACTCGACCCCTGCAACCACAAATAGGTGAGTACAAATAGGTGAGTACATGTGCAAAACTAGAGTAGGTAAATCACAAGTCGCTAGAGCAGTAGGCTACGACACTCCCTTAATTGACGTTGATGATTGATCTATTTATCTTTCTGTCTAGAGAGAATCAGTGAAAGTCGCACTGATAGCGAGAACATATGTGCGGAGAATAATCACCAGAGATTATGTCACAGTATTCAGAGATGATGTCACTGCATCCAGAAATATCACTGCAACCAGAGATGGTGTTACAGCATCCAGATATGATGTCACTGCATCCATAGATGGTGTTACAGCATCCAGAGATGATATCACTGCATCCAGAGATGTCACGCCATCCAAAGAGGATGTCACAACATCCAAAGAGGATGTCACAATATCCAGAGATGTCACATCATCCAGAGATGATGTCACAGCATTCCGAGATGATGTCACTGCATCCAGAGATGATGTCACAGCATCCAGAAAGGATGTCACTGCATCCAGAGATGATGTCACTGCATCCAGAAATGATGTCACAGCATCCAGAGATATTGTCACAGCCCCCAGAGATATCACAGCATCCAGAGATGTCACAGGATCCAGAGATGATGTCACAGCATTCAGGGATGATGTCACAGCATCCGGAGACGTCACAGCATCCAGAGATATTGTCACAGCTCAATCACTAAAAAAATTAGCACCCACGCAGGGCGGCCAGTATCACCATGAAAAATGGTACCTATGACTCCATCACATCACCTTTAACCTTACAGAGTCAGAAATTCATAGAGCGATTGTGTCATTCCCAGCAGGTTCTGTAGGGCGTTACACTGGAATATGACACAGTAAACAGTATACAGACAGTTAACCTAAGTCTTAGTTCAGTTACAGAGATTCTCCTTTCAGAGATAACAACGTTTGTCAATAGCTCTAATGCTGGACTGATACCTGAAAAAATTAAAATGTTTTTCTCCGGTGTTCCATCATGTGCCTTAAGGACGAAGGAGGAAGTAAACGGGGCTCTCATACTTGGTAGCACTCCTCACTGTCTGCATGTCAATGTAGAAATTAGAAGTACTTGCACAGAAGCTGCCAACTTGCTCAACCCAAGCCAGTGTTTGACTTTGCGATCTCTGACTACCCAGATTTTGTCAATGATCTGTTGGCTAGGAAAACTTCTCTACACTTGATAGGGTTTAAGGAGAGTCATTGATTCACTGCGAGATCTTCTATTTTCATAAATGTCCTCTAGGAAACCAGAAATTGAGGCCACCGGACACACTTCCTGTGACTCTTAATGATCAATAATAATAATAATAATAATAATAATAATAATAATAATAATAATAATAATAATAATAAAAATAATAATAATAATAATAATAATAATAATAATAATAATAATAATAATAATATAATAATAATAATAATAATTATAATATCTTTAGATGTACAAGGTATACAGGCCTAGCTGACATCAATGACATACTACTATGTAGAAAGTCGCTTGTTATGCTGAGCATTTAGGGCAAATTAGGTCAGTTTTGTCCAGGATGCGACCCACACCAGTCCACTAACACCTAGGTACCCATTTTACTGATGGGTGAATATAGACAACAGGTGTAAAGAAACACGTCCGATGTTTCCACCCCTTAACCGGGAATCGAACCCGGACCCCTCACCGTGTGAAGCGAGGGTTTTTGCCACCAGGCAGAGAGGCGAGGGACGGTCCTCCAGCTGTACACCTTCGCTTGAAGGTCCTTCAGCTGCACACCTTCACCCGAGTCAAAGTCGAAGATTCATTTCCACAGGATGCAATGTTTGTGCAGTGATGTGTGACATTTGGTTGTGCATGTAGAAAACCCATGGTTATACAGATCATTTCCAGCAAGCCACTATAACACGATTGGATGAATGGATAAAATTCAGGGAAATACTGATGAACATCACAGAGCAGTATCTTGTATAATTTGAAGGTATTGGCTAAGTCAGTGTAATCAAATGTACATGATCTGTTAAGTTAGCACATATAAATACCCTCGCTGCGAAGGCATGTGCCTCAAGCATTTATTGAATCCCAAACAAAGCTGAACTGGTTTCATTATTGAGGCTGCATGGTGACTTACAATCCTGCCAGCAGCCCTGGCAACAGCAGGGCAGAGGCTGTTGCTAAGACAATGGGTATTATTCTTCCTTCTATTTGCTTTCATGATAAAGATCAATTTACCAAGGAGTAACTTGACCGTCTCATTAACAACGACACAAGTTGGCAGAGCTGGTGAGCTCAGAGAGGACAGCTCTCTAAAGCATCAGCAAGCGCTAGACTGAACACTTATTTCACAAGAAACCTTCTCAACCTGGTGAAGGTGATAACGTAGCCTTGTACCCAACTCTCCTGAAGACCTCCCAAGGAGCAATGGTACAACAAACTTGATTTCTTTGTGCTGTATACAAAATTTAGTTTACATAGGTTAGGTTAGGTAAGGTTCGTCAGGAAACAGGACAAATGTTTCCTGACGCGGGTCTTAGTCAGATGATGACCCGCCTTTGGAGCTTTTGGTCATCTGACCGAGGCCTTCAGCTGGCTTACCGGTCCACCCTTTTAAAAATTATGGTCATTTATAACCATTGTTATATATAACGATAGTTTACATATAATAGAATATTAACCACAACAGAAAAACCACTAGCATCCTGTATATTTCGGGTATCTTCACTTGTGATTAACCTCATTCCTCGTCTAGTATTTACCTTTTCTTATGGTCTTGCTAATCTAAACTCTGATTTTAATCATAGACATAAGGTTTAACATAATTATACTCATGAAATTATTATACGTGATGCTAAGATGGAGGTAAGATAGATAAGAGTAAAGATGAATGTGAGAAGATAAATAGTGATAAACTAAACACAGGATAACATGTACTCACAGTAGCCAGCACTCAGGAAGTACATAAGATTCCATCTTCCGGTGCCCAGGCGGGTGAGTAGATCGTCAAACTTGTTGCTGCTGCTCATCTGTAAGATGCTGTGGTGGGCAAGGTAAGAAGCTGCGATAGTTTCATCATCTCAGTGATATTCACTATGTCAGTCTTTCTCATCTCTATTTTGTTTTGGGTGCGGCCAAAAAGAAGTAACCATTTCTCACTCTTTGTATAGATTTTCTGAGTAAACTGGAATTACTTGCTATTTTTGGTATCTACAGCAATATTGAATTTAATATATATATATATATATATATATATATATATATATATATATATATATATATATATATATATATATATATATTTTTGTGTGTGTGTGTGTGTGTGTGTGTGTGTGTGTGTGTGTGTGTGTGTGTGTGTGTGGTATTCACCTTTATGTGGTTATAGAGGTCGATTCACGGCTCCTGGTCCCGCCTCTCTGCTGGTCGCTACTAGGTCCTCTCTCCCTGCTCCAAGAGCTTTATCGTACCTCTTGTGTGTGTTTTACCTGGTTACCTCTCAACCTATATATAATATAAGGAATAAAAAAAAATTGTTGTGGTGAGAGTAAGGTGTGACTGGATTTAACCTGTGCACTCTTGTACTCTCGTGCTCCTGTACTCTTGCACTCTTGTACTCTTGTACTCTTGCACTCTTGTACTTGTACTCTAACTCACTGCACTAGACAACAATTGTAAATTAAATACATCAATTATTATTCGACCTTCTATATCAAAATTAAAGAAAAATAGATTTACTAGCAACATATTTTCTAGCTAGAGGTGCCACTTTTCGTTGACTTTATGTGGTATGATCGTCTATACTTGATCAACCCTCCACCATCAGTGTCTGCTTGTAAAGAAGATTTTAAGCATCTGTTTATAAATATAAAACATTAAATCCTGTTGCAGAGTAAAAGTCGAATCCAATAATCATTTGGATAGGATTCAACACCACATCAGCAACATTTCAGAAAAAATTTCGGTGTGAACTTGAGATTTGTGGCGTCTATACTTTGTGGCATAGCTCTATCCTTCTCTTCTGTTTTGTTAACTGAACTAACTCTCTCAGTTAACTCACATTATTAGTAATTAACATTTCTTGGTGATAATAAATAATTAATTTCAGTCTGCGTCATCGGATCAAAGATGGTACAATATCGTAATGAAAGTAATAAAAATATAAGTCGAATTTGAGGAGACCTGTCAGTAAGGTACCTGTTATGAATTGTTTGTAGATCAAAGAAGGTCGCAAGAAGAACTCGATACCACCTGCAAGAAGAACTGGATACCACCTGCAAGAAGAACTCGATACCACCTGCAAGAAGACCTGGATACCACCTGCAAGAAGAACTCGATACCACCTGCAAGAAGACCTGGATACCACCTGCAAGAAGAACTCGATACCACCTGCAAGAAGAACTGGATACCACCTGCAAGAAGAACTCGATACCACCTGCAAGAAGAACTGGATACTACCTGCAAGAAGAACTGAATGCCACCTGCAAGAAGAACTCGATACCACCTGCAAGAAGAACTGGATACCACCTGCAAGAAGAACTCGATACCACCTGTAAGAAGAACTGGATACCACCTGCAAGAAGAACTGGATACCACCTGCAAGAAGAACTGGATACCACCTGCAAGAAGAACTGAATGTCACCTGCAAAAAGAACTGGATACCACCTGCAAGAAGAACTGGATGCCACCTGCAAGAAGAACTGGATACCACCTGTGAGAAGAAATGGATACCACCTGCAAGAAGAACTGCATAAGTAGTTACTGGGATTCATCCCTAGGAAAAGTAAAGTTATGAAGCTGGGAGACAAGTAATAAAGAGATTTTAGAACCGAGCACCTCCCGAGGCATGTTGGCTCTCAGGAACCCAAGTAAGTTTATTCAGGTACACAGAAACACAGTTACATAGATTATAATTATCGTACATAGCAGCATATGTATAGAGAACCTGGGATAACCCAAAAAAGTCAAAGTGACTTATTGTCATTAGGGTCCTTGTGATAAGTATTATTTATATTTAAAAGTAAAAAATAGGGAAGCATCTTAACTATGTAAAAGCAGTTACAACAGAAGAAGGTATACTAAGGGAGAGGTAAAATTAGTTATTTTCATTGTCATTAAAGATAGGATCAGATTATGTACATATATGTTAGATATACAAAAAAAAATCACTCCTCCCTTTCTGTAGCCTAATTCATAAGGTACATTTTGGCTTTCTTCTTGAACTGGCTCATGCTATGACAGGCTTTGAAATGTGCAGGCAGTCTATTACACTCTTTTAATGCTATACAGAAAAATGTCTTTGAAGTCAGACCACTGACTCTAGGTACTGCAAAGTTGTTCTCTTTTTCCTAGTTCTAGAATTGTTTTGGTTCCAGTTTTAACAAAATTTTGGTGTGTTTCCTCATAGGTAAGATTCGTTATTGAGTATGTGGCCTCCATGTGAAACCTTCTACCTTAAAAACTAAAAAGGGAATTTTGAAAGAGTATATTAAGTTTTATAACCTGCATGAACTGTATCACTGTAGACAACAAGAGCATTTCACCCCTCCATGGAAGATGTGTTCATTTAATATCACATACCTGCAAGTCCCTCCCCAGACGCTCATTGTTAGTAATCTCGCCTAGCTGGTAGTAATAAGTTATCACAAGTTTTATACACTGATGGATCTAAACAGGAGTCTTCTGGCAGGGCTGCAACTGCTCCTGTTGCAACCTCCCTAGTTAAGAACGATAATAAATTTGTTGAACTAGGCATAAGAATTAACAACTGGGCGTCTACACTGCAAACTGAATTGTTTGCAATCCTAATAGCGCTAAAGCTAACTTATGGCACTGAGCCTGACTATCATCATTACTGATTCTTTGTCATCACTGAAGGCTCTTGACTCACATAATGACTCTAACAACATGCTCATTGGAGAAGCCAGGTATAGATACTTAAAAATCCTAGACAAAGGAATTAATGTACAATTGTTATTGGATTCCATCACACATTGGATTACTCCTTCATGATAAAGTTGATATGTTAGCCAAGAAGAGTACCCAGAAGGAGAATGTAGAATATAGCTTTGGTATATCTGTGTCTAGTATTAGGAATAATATTAGGAGAGAAGTAAATAATGAAAATGATTGTTGTAGGAATGTAGTTAGAAGCCTGAGTAGATCTATAACCCACTATGATAACATGAACGTAGATAAGTATGTTTATGGAGCAACGTGCAATGTGAACAGACTGACTGATGTTGTAGTGGCCAGGCTTAGGCTTGGTTACAAGTACTTCTGGCAGTTTGGGAGACACACAGATGATGATCAAACTAAATGTAAATTATGTGATCAGGCATATGGTCACTGTCTTGAACACTATGTGCTTAATTGTCCACTTATTGAGGAATATAGAGATAGTACAATGACCTATGTGACATGTCAAGATATATTATTAATGAAAATAAGATATTGATACACAAGAGGCCTAGTTTCTAGGCCTTTTGTGTATCCATATGCCCTTGCGCTACCGTCCACAGGATAGATATGGGATGCACAATAAACTAACCACTGCGGTGGCAAAATCTAAAAAAAATCCAAGGAGCGCATCACGACTAATGTCTGATATAAGGGAAATGAGATACGAAGAAATAATGCGTATTTGTCACTGGAGGAACGAAGAACAAGAGAAGATATGGTCAGGACATACAAAAATACTACCCCTCATAAAAAGGGTAGACAAGAATTGTTTTTTATTTTGCTAAAGATGAAGGAAAAACAGGGCAAATCGTGCCCCGAAATTCATGCGCCAGCAGTTGATGCATCACAGAGATCACCATGACGCGCACCTCCCCCGACACCACTTAGAGAATTAACAAAGCAACTCCCACATGTTGTAAACATCGATAAATGCTACAATAAACATGGCACTTTGTTAAGTATCAAGGGCCTACAGATCATACGTACAAGATAACACACTACAAGAAAACACAACACAGTGCAAGATAGCACAGTCCAAGATAACACAACACAGTGCAAGATAACACAGTACAAGATAACACAACACAGTGCAAGATAACACAGTACAAGATAACACAACACAGTGCAAGATAGCACAGTACAATATAACACAACACAGTGAGTGCAAGATAACACAGTACAAGATAACACAACACAGTGCAAGATAACACAGTACAAGATAACACAACACAGTGAGTGCAAGATAACACAGTACAAGATAACACAACACAGTGCAAGATAACACAGTACAAGATAACACAACACAGTGAGTGCAAGATAACACAGTACAAGATAACACAACACAGTGCAAGATAACACAGTACAAGATAACACAACACAGTGCAAGATAACACAGTACAAGATAACACAACACAGTGCAAGATAACACAGTACAAGATAACACAACACAGTGCAAGATAACACAGTACAAGATAACACAACACAGTGCAAGATAACACAGGACAAGATAACACAACACAGTGCAAGATAATACAGTACAATATAACACAGTACAAGATAACACAACACAGTGCAAGATAGCACAGTACAAGATAACACAGGACAAGATAACACAACACAGTGCAAGATAATACAGTACAATATAACACAGTACAAGACAACACAACACAGTGCAAGATAACACAGTACAAGATAACACAGTACAAGATAACACAACACAGTGCAAGATAGCACAGTACAAGATAACACAACAGTGCAATATAACACAGTACAAGATAGCACAGTACAAGATAACACAACAGTGCAATATAACACAGTACAAGATAACACAACACAGTACAAGATAACACAACACAGTGCAAGATAACACAGTACAAGATAACACAACACAGTGCAAGATAACACAGTACAAAATAACACAACACAGTGAAAGATAACACAGTACAAGATAACACAGCACAAGATAACACAACACAGTGCAAGATAACACAGTGCAAGATAACACAGTACAAGATAACACAGTACAAGATAACACAGTAAAAGATAACACAACACAGTAAAAGATAACACAGTACAAGATAACACAACACAGTGCAAGATAACACAGTGCAAGATAACACAGTACAAGATAACACAACACAATGCAAGATAATACAGTGCAAGATAACACAGTACAAGATAACATAACACAGTGCAAGACAACACAGTACAAGATAACACAGTACACGATAACACAACACAGTGCAAGATAACACAGTACAAGATAACACAACACAGTGTAAGATAACACAGTACAAGATAACTTAGAACAAGATAACACAGTACAAGATAACTTAGAACAAGATAACACAGTACAAGATAACATAGAACAAGATAACACCGTACAAGATATCACAGTACAAGATAACACAGTACAAGATAACACAGTATAAGATAACACAACACAGTGCAAGATAACACAGTACTAGATAACACAAAACAAGATGACAGAACAAGATAACAGCGCAAGATAACATAGAACGGGATAACGTAACATAGCACAG